GGCTCTCCATATATCAAAAACTAAAACCAGACCCATGCCTATCACCATGTACTAAACTAAAGTCAAAATGGATCAAAGATCTAAATATTAAAACAGAAACACTGAATTTGTTAGAAGACAAAGTAGGTAGAAATCTTGAAGACATAAGAGTAGGTAGAGAATTCATGAACAAGAATCAAACTGCACAGGAAATACTTCACAGAATCAATAACTGGGATTGTGTTCTATTAAAGAGTTTTGCATGTTTAAAGAAATCTCCAGCGTAGTGAAAAGAAAACCAAAAAATTGGGAAAAAATCCTAGTGAATGGTCCCTCAGACAAAGGACTTCTTTTCAGAACATATAAAGAATTTTAAAAAAAAATCAGATCCCCAAAGTTCAAAGACCCCATCCAAAAATGGGCATATGAGATGAATACACACTTCTCAGATGAAGAAATACAAGTGACAAATAAATACATGAAAAAATGTTCAGCATCATTGGTCATTAGAGAAATGCAAATTAAAACCACACTGAAATTCCATCTCACTTCAGAAAGAAAGGCCAGGATCAAGAAAACTACCAACAACAAATGCAGGAAAGACTACGGGGGAAAAAGGAACTCTTCTGCACTGTTGGTGGGAGTGTAGACTGGTACAACCTTTGTGGAGGTCAGTCTGGAGATACCTCAAAAAGCTAGGATTGGAGGTCCCATTTGACCCTGCTAGTCCACTTCTGGGCATATTCCCAGAAGAACTGAAAACAGCATACCATAGTGATATATATGCACCCATGTTTATAGTAGCACAATTTGTAATAAACAGATCTTGAAAACAACCTCAATGCCATTAATTGAGGAATGGAGAAAAAAGATGTGGTATTTTTATACAATGGAGTACTACTCAGCTATAAAGAATGATCACATTGAGATATTTATAAATAAATGAATGCAACTTGAGACCATACTCATCAGTGAAATAAATCAAACTCACATGTGTAAATACCATATAGTCTCCCTGGTATAAGAAATGGTCAGAGTACACAAGATACAGTCATGAGTTCAATCCCCGGTACCGATAAAAAAAGAAAAAGAAAAAGACAAAAAAATTTTTTTAAAAGATACAAAAAACTCAATAATTACAGTGAAAGGATAAGAATCTGCTTAAAGGAGAAAAATTTATATGTCAGGAAAAATGAGGAAAGAGAAAAAGGAAGGGAAAAGAAAACATGTCTAAAGTTACATACACACACTTAGGATAGCTAAGATGATTGTGCTACAAGTTCTGTAAGTTCTTGGAACAAAACAGTTAACATTCATAGGATTGAAACAGTTGTGCATGTTATTGCATGGTGATCTGAGGAGCTCTTGAAGATCATTATGTCAAATAGCAACCCTAGTTATGTTCATACCACCTTGTTTTGAAGGCCTAGGTTGTCTGTGTTCTGGGCTCTTCGCTATTGTTGTTTATATGTCTTTTTTGTTTTGTGTTTTTCTTGTAGTTTGTTTTGTTTTTCCCTCTAGTACAGAAAGGATAGGTATAAATGTAGAAACTCATGCATGTATAGAACTTCTAAAAAGTTTATGAGAATCAATTATATAATGCACAATGAAATGAGCAGCTACTTTGAAGAAAAGAGACACTAAGGAATCCAGTGCTGATTCCATAATGTCATGCGGTGAAATCCAGCAATACTATTATTCTTTGTTCAGAGTGATTTTCGTCCGTTTTGTTTCATTTAATTTCAACATACGTGAAGGTATGAACAGCTCTTTTGAAGAGAATGAAAGACATTATGGCAGCCATTGCTGACCTCCTTATTGTCAGGTCATCATCCTGTTCTGATTGGTTTTATACTATTTTGTTTTGTATGAATTCATTGTATGTGAAGATATGGACAACTATTTAGAAGAAAACAAGAGACAATATGATAGTGAAGATCTCTGGTTGTCTTGCTTTGAAATCTGTGTCTCTTACATTGTTTTATTATGATGTTTTATTATGTTTAATTTTATCCTCTTTAAAAATAAAATTTAAAAAATAAAAAATACAGTGGAGTAGTACTCTGCCATAAAGAAGGGTAAGTTTCAGACATTTCTAGGTAAATAGATGCACCGTGTAACCTTTAGTGAAGTAAATCCGATACACGTGTAGGTGATGCGTGGATTCTCTGGTGAGAGAAACTGACAGTGCAAGTAGAATCACAGTGTATAACAGATACTGGGAAATGGGAAGAAAATGTTCAGATGAGAAGGAAAACCTGTGGGAGGATAGAAAGGACAAGAAAAAAGAATAGAAGGAAAAACTGGAAATAGATAAAGGAGGGGCGTGAGAAAAAAGAAAAACACGTATAGGTACAAAGTCCCTGTGAGGAATGTTATCACTATGTGTATGTAAAATGCACCATTTTAGTTAGAAAAAGAAAACAATTCTTTGCCTACACATTGATAATGAAACTGCAGCACATCAAAGAAAGAGATCTTAAAAGTTGCTAACGGAGGGCTGAGAATGTAGCTCAGTGATTGCAGTGACTGAGCCCTTGCCTAGCATATCTGCAGAGTTCTCAGCTCAAAACCCAATACTGACAAACAAAAAAGGAAGAGGAGGAGGAGGAGGAAGGAAGAAAGGAAGGAAGGAAGGAAGGAAGGAAGGAAGGAAGGAAGGAAGGAAGGAAGGAAGGAAGGAAAAAAAGAAAGAAAGAAAGAAAGAGAGAGAGAGAAAGAAAGAAAGAGAGAAAGAAAGAAAGAAAGAAAGAAAGAAAGAAAGAAAGAAAGAAAGAAAGAAAGAAAGAAAGAGAAAGACAGAAAAGAAAGGTGACTGACAGAAGTTAGGGAACCGCAGAGTGGCACAGTACTAAGAGATACTATTTTTCATCTACTCTACAAGGAGCACACATCCACATTTTTTTATCTTAAAGCTGACAGCAGTAGCGCTGGGAATTTAGCTCAGCGGCACAAGCGCCTGCAGGGCAAGCACAAAGTGACTTCAATCCCTGATGCCAAAAATAAAAAAAGACTGAATGATAATTAAAACTGACACAAGTTCCTAAAATGTCAACATTTTAAAAGCTGGAAATATGCTGTCAAATTTCATGATACTGCATAAAACGATAGTTTCCTAAACCCAAGGAAATACGGTAACTAGCAATTAGAATCTTATATTGAATGAAATTATGTTTTAAAAATTAAGAATAGAAAGCAAGTTGGTGCATGCTTGTAATCCCAGCATTTGAGAGGCTGAGGGAGGAGGATCACCACAAGTTCAAGGGCAGCCTGGGTTACATAATGAGTTCAAAGTCAGTTGGAACTACATAGTGAGACCTTGCCTTAAAAAAAAAAAAAAAAGAATAGAGAGCCAGATGGGATGGTGCACACCTATTTAATCTCAGCTCTTGGGAAACTGAGGCAGGAAGGATAACCTGGTCTACATAACAAGATCCTGCATCCAAAAAATTTGAAATTATTATTAATGGGCCTTCTAAAAATTTCTAAGAAAAGAATGGCAGTGCGTACCTGCAATCTTAATTACTTTAGAAGCTGAGGCAGGAGGATCTCTTTAAACCCAGCCTAAGCAATTTAGTGGCTTAGCAAGACCTTGTTTCAAAAAACAAAAACAAAAAACCAAACATGTAAGAGAGATAGAAGAATTATAAAGGAAGAAAGAACTATAAAGAATTATAAAGAATGAATGAATTAGGATAAAAAATAGCAAAACGTGTGTGAGTACATCTAAATAAGAATCAATTGGCTTTAGTAATCTAATTTATAGATGCCAGCCCTCTCCTGTGAGTCGGAGCCATTCGCAGATCGCAGAGGAGGAGAGCAAGAAGTCAACAAGAAGCGAAGACCTTCTGTGAATTAGCACCATGTGTGGGCTGACTGGGGGAGAGCCAGACACCAGCCCGTTCCTGGGGCAGGGCGACAAGAAGGCCCAGCTCCCCCTGTACGTGATCAGCTGATCCCGAGAAATGCAGGCTGTGATGATGGCTACTGCGGTAAAATACAGCTTAATGCTTGTAGTGTTTAGTGTTTCACTGATTTTGCAGGCCGAAAGCTGGTGGTCTGATCATCTGTTTAGAGGATAACCAGACACAGTGTAGCATAAATTGGGGGGGTCTCCTTCTGACGGTGGTAGCCACTGTTGATTCCCTATTGTCTTGTTTGGAAGTCCTGTATCGTTCTCATTGTTTGGTTTGGTTTGATTCTATTATATCTGATGGCATGGGCAGCTATTTCAAAGAGAACAAGATATATTAAGGTAGCCATTTTGGATTTGCTCTCTTTTGTTCTGAAGTCCTGTGTTGCATTCATTACTTTGTTTTTATTGGTTTTATTCTGTTCAGTTTTGTTTGGTTTTACTATGTCTGAAAGTATGGACAGCTATTTTGAAGACAACAAGATGCATTATGGTAACCATGTTGATTTCCTATTATCTTGCTTTGAAATACTATACCACTTACACTGCCTTATTCTTATTGGCTTTATTCTGTTTTATTTTCCCTGTAGTTGAAAATGAAGGCTATAAATAATACAAGACCAAAATGAAAGAAAAAAGACATTTACTTTGAGAAGAGAAAAAAATAAGTTAAAATAATTTTTAAAATCTTCATATCTCTCCTGAGTACCAAAGTCTTCAATTAACTTTGTTAAGTATAGTATATGTGTTAAAGTAATAAAGTATGTTATGACCATGATATGATAGCATATGATTTACAACAATTTGTTTTTGGCAAGATAAAAAGAGGAATGGAAAAAATAAAATACACATACTGAGATGATAGAAATATTTCTAATAACAACATTAGTAAATGCAAATACGCTAAACTTTCTGGTTAAGAGAAAAATTATGAACCTTATCGAAACTGGCCTCAAACTCACAGCAATCCTCCTGCCTCAGCCTCCTAAGCACTGGAATTACAGGCACACATGAATTATAACTTTAGGTTTGTACATGATTATTTTTACACATTCCTATAATATGCTACTTTGGATTTAGCAGAAAGTAAAAAGCATAAATTTTTTACCTCATCAGGCACAAGAGAAAATCTCAAATCCAAGGACAATTCCCAAAAGACACCTGAGCTGTCCACTAACGTGGCTGTCCTGCACAATGTGCTGGTAGAATGTTTGCATGTCAGAGAAGCTGTTGCTAGGTGAACACATCACAAAGATCTAAGAAAAAAGAACTAGCCAGGTGGGGTGGCACAGACCTATAATCCCAGCACTCAAGAAGCTGAGGCAGGAGGATTGCCATGAGTTTGAGGCCAGCCTGGGCCACATTGTGAGTTGACCAGCCTGGACTACATAGCGAGTCCCTGTCCCTGTCTCAAAGAAAGAAAGAGAGTCAAAGTGTCAAAGTGTTACAGTTATGATATAGGAGAAATGAACTCCCAACCTAATAGATGTCTGATATGAGTTCGTGTTCTCTAAAATCAAAGAATGAATTTTAGGAACAATGGAGGTTAAGAAATATGTATTGAGAGAAAGAAAGCTTCTGTCTGAGAGAAAGACAGAGGGGTCCCAAATGGGTTGCCAAAGATTCTGTATTTTCTCAGGATTTTTATAGAGTGAAACCATGAGGTAAGGTGGGTCTAAAGTGGGGAAAACTGGGAACTCGAGAGGTGGACAGGCATGAGGTAGGACAGAGCTGTTTAGCCAATAAGATTAATTGTTCAGGTAAAACTGACCAAATTACAGATCAGTGACTCTTCCTATAGGGGACTGGGTTGGTGACTTCTGGCTTCTCAAGGTGATCCAGATGTAATCCCTAAGGATTATACTTAAGGGTGTGGTTGCATTTGTCTTGAGATCTGGCCCACAGAAAGTGATGTGTGTCCTCTCCAAGGTCATCAGACATCTGGTCCTCTCTGCCGGCTTCTTTGTAGGCCTAGCCCTGTCTGACTGCCTTTAATTTTTCTAACTAGCTCAGTTGCCAGTAACAGTAAATTTAGATTCTTTTCCACTTATTTAAATGCTTTAAGGACTTAGCTTATGGTCTATTTTGGAGACAGTCACATGTGCAGCTAAGAATATGTATTGTCTTTTTTTGGTACCAGGGACTGAACTCACAGCCTTATGCTTGCCAGGCAGGCACTTATGCCATTGAGCTAAATCCCCAGCCCCAGAATGTGTATTCTTATTTGCCTCTCCTGATCTGTTTTGCCATGAAGTTCACTTTGTCTAAAAATAAGATAGCTATTCCTGTTTCTGAATTTTCATTGCATGGAATATTATTTTTCACACTTTGATTGTTAGTCTGTGAATTTTTTAAAATTAAATGTAGTGTTTTGTATACAACACCACTGAGTTGTTTCTTGACTCATTCTGCCAATCTGTCTTTCAGTTGGGAAAGTCAGATCATTCACATTATGAGTTATTACTAACAGGTATTGATTTATTCCTATCATTGCAGTAGTATTAGTGATTCCCATTTAATGCTCACCCTGCCTGATGTGTTCATTCTATTAAACTTTTTGGCACTGCTGAACTTCATTGTCTCTTTCTAGGATATCTTTGAGAATTTTGTAGAGTACTGGTTTGGTGGTCATGAATTTCTTACAGTTCTTTTTGTCTTGGAAATAGCTTATTTCCCCATTGACTTTGAAAGGATTGGTTTTGCAGGATGTTTCAATCTGGGTTGGAAGTTGTCTTCTTTTAGGACTTAAAACACTTCATTTCAACCTCTCTTGGCCTTTGAAGTTTTGTGATGTTTGCTGTAATTCTAATGAGTTTACCTTTATAAGCAAGTTCTTACAGTTCTCTTACAGTTTTAAAATTCTGTCCTTGTTACACATACCAAAGATTAAACCAGACCCATATCTTTCACCATGTACTAAGCTAAAGTCAGAATGGATCAAAGATCTTAATATTAAAAGAATCATTAAATTTGCTGGAAGATAAAGTAGGTAAAACTCTTGAAGACATTGATGTAGACAAAGACTTTATGAACTTTATGAACAAAACCCAGATTGCACAGGGACTATCACAAAAAATCAATAACTAGCACTCTGGAGAACATGGCGGACAGACAACAGCAACTACTGAACGCTCTCTAAAGGCTCGGCTCAGAGGCCAGGAATGATGCGGACTAAGGAGATACGAACCAGTAGAGATATGCTCTGCTGACTCAGGAACGAACTGGGCTGAGAGAATCCAACTTGGAATACAGTCCTGGCGCTAAAATAGGAACAGAAAAATCTCGGTGTGGAGGCTCGACTCCGCGCCATTGGAAACCGCGGCTTGGATTTCCCGCCGCGCGGCGGCCGGCTACCTCCACAGCGGCTCAGCAAGGAGAGACGCGACCCCCGAGCTCTGGGAACGGGCGTCTGGGAATGGTCTCGGAAACGCGACGGGCAGGAAGGAAGGCTGACTGGTGACAAGGTGAGTGAGGAACTGACTCCCTACCGCAGTCTGACTCCAGCGGAGGATTTTCTGGGCGCGGGCAGTCCTGTAAGAGCAGGGCGCGGTGGCAACTGCAGCCGCGCATTTCCCTCTCGGACGGGATTGGTGAAAGGTGCCTGGCCGGAGGGACGCTGCTGGCGGACTCCCTAGGCTGGCCTAGCCCAGATCCCAGAGCCTGACGGTGGCCCGGAGGAGCGACCGACTTCCGCGTAGGCTGCCTCCTCCGCAACTCCCTGGGGTGCAGCGGTGAGCTGGAACAACTAGCCAGCGCAATTCGATCAAGCTGTAGCTGACAGGCAGGGAAGCCGGGCCTCCTATGTAAGATTACATTTTATAAGGAACAGAAAATATGGGGAAGGGAAGCAACAAAAAAGGCTCCTCGACCCCCAATCCTGAGAATCAGGCAATAGTGGACACTGTACCAATATACATTAAGCGCCATTTAGAGAGCCTCATAGACCAATTCAGGAATGAAGTTATCAATGACCTGAAGCTAGAAGTATGCAGAATAGTTAGAGAAATGCTAAGCACCACCCAGGAAAAAGCAGATGGTGGAGTGGAAGAACAGAAAAAGAGGGGAGAATTGCTTGATGGAGAAAACAGAGAAAGCATTGAGTATGTGAAGCAGGTGCAAAGGGACTATCAAGAAATCAAGAAGTATACCCAAGACTGGCATAACAGCTTGAAAGAAACTAAGGACAGACTATCTGAATTGGAGGGCAGACTTGAAACATGGGAGAATGAAATGAAAAACTTCTTAAAAATAACAAAGAAACACACAGCAATAATACAAAGACAAGAAGATGATAAGAGGAGCCATAACTTAAGGATTAAGAACATAAAAGAAGAAGTAGGGACACAAACAAGTGAACTACAAAAGCTACTCACAGAAATAATCCAGGAGAATTTTCCTAATTTAGCAAAAGGTAAAGATACTCAAATGTATGAGGCATACAGGACCCCAGCTACCTACAACCCTAACAGAGAAACACCCAGGCATATAATAATAAAAATTCCAGAAATTCAATACAAGAACAGAATATTAAAAGCTGTAAGAGACAAGAAACAGATCACTTACAAGGGAAGACCCATCAAAATTACAGCAGATTTCTCTTCACAAACCATCAAATCACGAAGAGCATGGGGAGAAATAATTCAAGCTTTGAAAGATAATAATCTACAGCCAAGATTGAGATATCCTGCACAACTGTCCCTGGAAATTGATGGAAAAACGAGGTGCTTCCAAGATAAAGAGGAACTGGGGGAATTTGCAACCACCAATCCAACCCTACAGAAAGTATTGCAGGATATTCTAAAAAAAGAAAAATACAAAGAACCCAGAAATAGGGGCGGGGAGGCCACAACGAATAGAGCAGAGACCAAAACGAAGAAGACAAACTGACAGCTACTGACAGAAAAAGAGCTCAACAGAAATGAGACAGAGAAGATTGGATGATAGGAACAGCTTTTTTTGGAGAAAATGACATCTTAATAGGTAATGCTGATTTAGTACCATCTTGTTTTGAAGTCTCATCTAGCTTTTGTTCTTCTGTCTCCAATGGTCTAAACAGGTTTTATCTTATTGGATTTTACTATGTACGATAGTATAAGAAAAAACCTTTTAAAGACAAGGAGATTATACAGAGACCATTGCTCATTTTCTGTTAGTCGATTCTAAATACTCTATAATGCTGTTATTCTCTTAAATGGATTTACATTGTTTTGATATACTTAATGCTACAGTATATGAAGTTGTACTCAAGGACTTCAGGGAGGGAGTCAATATGGTAACTATTTTTGGGTCAGGATTAGCTGGTGGTGAAACACTATTCTGCTTAAATGGTTATGTTTTGATCTGCCCTGTTTCGCTGTTATGCCCTCTTTTTTTCTCAATCTCCACTCCATTATTTACTTTTTTATTTTTACCCATTTAATTACAGGGAAAAATATAGCAGGATATAATATAGTAACCCACTTTGACTTTCTATTATCTCGATTTGAAGCCCTGTATTACTCTCACCATCTTGTTTTTGACTGAGGTTCCTATATTCTGTTTTGCTGGATAGTATCAGGTTCGAAAGTTTAGGCATCAGCTGAGAAGATAATGAGATTCATTATAACGCCCATTCTCGTTGACTTTTATCTACTTTTGAAGACCTACAATGTCTCCAATGTTTTGGTTTTGTCGGTTTTATTCTTTACGGTTTTGTTCAATTGTATTACAACTAATGATATAGGCAATTCTATTAGAAATAGCGGGAGGCATTAGGGTAACCATTGTTGATCACCTTGTATTATGTTTTTATATTATCTATTATGTCCACCCTTTTGACTTGACCGATTCTGTTCTGTTATGTCACATTTGGTTTTACTCTCTTCCAAAAAAGCAACAAGAACCGTGGGAGCAATGAAACCCAAAATGTGTAATAGTCACTGTACAAAAGAGAGGAAAAGAAAGTGCTCTAAACTATATAACTGCATGTATATTTAAAAGTATAAGATAGAAAATGATATCACAGAGTTTTATTGGATCATTGAACAGAACTGTTTGCAGTATCATTGGTGGAATGTCCACTCTACAAGCTTTAATTTTGTGACTTGAACAATTATTTCTAAGATGGCAATATGTAATCCATTAACTAGTGATTTCCTACTGCGCATTTTTTTATTCTGTAAATCTGTATAACTTGTACCCCTTCACTGTTTTTTTTTCTTTCTTTTCTTTTCTCCT